CAGTTAAAATTTCATTCTAAAACCCATCTTTTTTGGTTTTTTCATGGCTTATGATCTGTCAAATTTGTAGTTTTCTTTATTGGTTTTGAGTGTTTATCTTAAAACTCAAGTTTMTTGGTTCTTTGCTCTTGGTGTAAATCGAACACATTTGTGGAATCGTTTAAATATGTTGGATTTTAAATATATTGGATTTTAAACTGTCATACAATTTTTTCATCGATAGTCTGTAATTGGAACCATAACTCTTATTTATTCAAATTGTATTAATATGTAAAGACCAAGTGTAACTTATATCATCGTTAAATCTTATYTTATAAAAYCARTGGAACTTCAAAATCGTTAAAATTCATGGCTCCCGACGCTACACAACTAGTATATATATAAAAGATCACGTGAGACCAACCTGTTTTCGTGAAACTCATAAGACCACTTTTTTACATTTCGTAGTAAAACGCTGTGAAGGTAACCTTCACCATGTTTTTGCTATGAAAGTTCGGTTTTTTTTACATTTATAGCGTTCTGTTGTGAAGTTTCATGTGTAAAAAAATGGTCTCATACACGGGTCTCATGAAAACAAGTTTGGTCTCACATGAATCCAACCATATGTATATATATCTACATTTATTTATTTATTTATTTGGGTTGTGTATTTTATATTTTTTTTCCATATTAAATAATTATTTTACTAAAATAATTTATTTTAAGAAAAAATTCAAAATTTTCGAAAAATATGTTATTTTGGTCATTTACCAACATTTTATCCTCATTCCAAAGCTACATTATGTGAACCAAACAGACAGATTTCAATTCTCTTAAGATGATTAAATTTCAATGCATGTCAACCAAACAAGTGGTCAAATTTTATAACATTTCATTTCAAATTTCTTTTAGAGATTCTATTTCATCTAAATACATTATACGAACCAAACATCACCTTAAAATATAATATTTTATATAAATAATTAAATAATTATTTATCTATTTTAGTGGAACAAAAATTGGAAGCAGTACACAAAACATGGATGGGATAGCAAATTCATATAACTACGTCTCGCGTAGCAAACATATTCTAAAGGATGAATTTGAATGTTAGAGAATAGTACAGGGACCATTTTTGTAACTACGGTGGAAATATATAAAAACCGTCCCAGCCCTGTTTAAGCTTAGGTTTTAGGGTTTTACAAAGGGGCGCTTCTTCTACTACATCATACATGGCGTGCACGATTGATTTCAGATGCCTGGATGAAGGATTCGGCGGCAAAACCTACAAGAGAAAGAGATCTGAACAGCAACAGGAGAAGGATGCCCTCATGGATGTCGACGACGACCAAGAAATCCAAACTTCAAAGCGACAAGCCGTTGCTTCTTCCGAAAACCCTAACAAGCCTATCTTCGGGAAGCCGACATACGACGGAGTTATAGCAGGAAAAGTATCTGGAAGGAAGTGGAAGAAAGCGAAAACACAGAGATCGTCGGCTGTGAGGGTGAGCCTCAAGAAATCGACGTTCGAGGAGAGGGCTCAACAGAAGGAGATAAAGAAGGCGTATAAGGAGAGGATGACGGAGCTGAAAGAGGAGATAAGGAAGAATAAGGTAGAGAAGAGGAAGAAGAAGGAGGAGAAGGATAAGAAGAAGGAAGAAAACATACTAAAATCTGGTACGAAGCTTCAGAAGATCACGAATCCAAAGACGCTAAAGAAGCTTGCCAAATCTAAGAAGAGGAAACTGCTCAAGGTTGTTCCTGACAACCTTGTTAAGAAATAGTTGTTCATCTTTTGATGCAAAATTTTTGTTGGCATTACATTCGAAGATACTGATACTTGTTGAGCTTCATTTTCTATGTAAGATCCTTTCTCTGACGCATTTTTCGAATTGGATTTCAGTTTCAGTTGCTATATTTTTCAGAATTTAGATTGAAAGATCTATTTCATCATGGTGTTGGTTCCATTTTTTGTGGCAAAATTAGGGGTGCACATATGTCTCGACCAACTTAAAACATCCGATGGCTATCAATCCGGCTCTGTACCAAGTTTAGGGGTGTTTGGGATTGCTTGTAGAAAAAACTTATTGACTTATCTTGGTGCTAGACCGGTAACAAGCACGCGTTTGGATAATCAAAGTATATCTTTTTCCCAAAAAAATAAACAACTTATACCGGTCTCAAACCGGTAGTAAGAGTTTTTAAAAAGGAAAATTCTTCTGCCTTATAATAAGTTGATTAGTGCTTTTGTAAAAAATCATAAGTTATTTGAAATAAGCAAATCCCAAACACCCCTTTAATATTTGTCAACTTGAATACCTAAAAAACAAGTAAGAATTGATTAATGACCAATCAAGAATTGATTCAAAATCCAATGTTACAATGTTTAATACTTGTAAAATAAATTCCCTAATCAAGTTGTAAAATCTTTAAATCATATATATCTGGTTGCAGTTAGGTTAGAATTATTTGAACCAACAACAAGCTTCAACAATACCATTAGGACCCTTAAAGATGTAAGGGGTTAGATGGTGGTTTATTGGGCCTCTGCCATACTTGTGGATTATAGGGTACAAGAAGATGGACACCATTTGCTGCTCAAACTGCAGTGGGAAATGTTATTTGTACACTAGTGGAGCAAGGTATGCAACAAGCGGAAGTTATGAGTCCTGGTCTTGGAATCCCATTTTCCAAGGTCAGGAGCCACGGAGCTAGAAGACTGTTCGACGAACCATTACCATAGTTCTAATAAGATTCTTAAGTAATTAATTAATATATAATTGTTAGTCTCAATAAAAAGATTCATTCTAAGTATCTTTTAATAAAAGCACAATCATGTGTTAACCAAATAAATAGTATTAATTTTGTTAATTGACCATAGCCTTTCATTTTTTTAATTAAGTGGGAGATTATAATTTGATAAATAAATAAAAAAGAAACAAGTTATTTGGTATTAAATGAGGGACATTTTTGAAAGATATTCAATAACAATAATTAAATGACTTTTTTTTTGAAAGATAATTATATTTTATTTTTTAAAAATAATCAATATAATATTTAAATAATTTTTGTTTAAAGGTAAAATCAAAAGGTTCATAGGTGAAAACAAAACGTGTAACAATAGATGAAATCAAAAAGTAAAACACTGATTTTTGTTTAAAGTTGTATATATATATATATATATATATATATATATATATATATATATATATATATATATATATATATATGAAACCAGATAATCAAAGTTCATATGTAAAACCAAGAAGGAAAACAATGATTTTTATTTAAATACATAAAAATGGGTACGGAAAAATGATAAATCACTGATTCGTTGGTTAATGTTGGAGCAAAGGGACCAACGAATACAACATAATGTTGAAAAGGCAGCTATAAAGTAAGGTAAAGAGAGGGGGACCTTATTTCCCAACGATTTTTGGCTTTAAAAAAGCATCTCTAATAATATGAGTAAGAGAAAATGTTTACCCAGTAAGTGCTTATCAATACGAGTCAATACTATAATTTAATTTGATACGCAAGATTTTAGTACATCAAAACATATCGAATGCAACAATTTACTGGGTAAACGTTTACCTGGGTAAGAGTCGTCATTCTCACTTACCGAGTAAGACTCTTCATCATTCTCATCGCTCTTACCCGGTAAGTTTTTTGGCCCTTCTCATGTTTATCCGATGAGAAAATTTATGCGTTAAGCACTTACCAAGTAAGTGTTTAGTAAACGGCTCCCAAAATGAATAAAATATGAATGTTATTTCAATGTTGCATGTCAAGATATAACTAAACGTATACAACAACTTTCTTCAAATCCTCGTGTTTCTTTGCCATCTCTCCACACAACCAACAAGATGCTTGACACAGTTTCTTCGGCTCTCATTTCCGGATTACCATAATCTCATTTAGTATAGAAAGAATCACCCATCCAGGAAGTTGTGTGTTGTGTGTGTTCCATAGAATTTACAACACCAAATCAGCAGGCAGAAAGGCTATGCATCAGATTCCAACGGATGCTTCACGCACACCAGATCATCTAATTTGTTGCCATCCATTTTATACACCGACACACCTTCCATCTGGACATAGTGTTCCTGTGCTTCTTGTCTCAGGCTCTTAAAAGGCATAACTTCCCATTTACTGTAATTTGAATTCTTCCTCTTGCTACTCATATCTCTAGACCCGGATACGGGTCCACTGCCATACGGACCTGCATTGCCCCACACCTTACAGTTGCTAAATTGTCCTACTGCACCATCTCCACCTTCTTGACTCCTCTTTAGTCGCATGGCAGCTGCATGAGCTCTACCTATCTTCTCACGGGTTGGCACATCCGACCAGTCTTGCACCCTTTTTGCTCTCATAGGAGAGTGTATCCTAATTACCTGAAATAGAAATGTTACATGTGCCCTCCGATCAAACAAGATGCATGTATAAATAAATCTATACCTGTCCTTCACCAGGCAATAAGTGCAACACTATATTTTTAACATAGGTACTAAGACGAAGGATCGTGTGATAATAGGAGTTAAGTTGAGAAGCGTAAGAAGGGATCTGGACTGTTGATCACTTTAAATCTCACCCCTACCCACGAATTGCACTAATCACAGGAATTGATTCGGTGCATCCCACTAGTGTTGATCTTCAATTAGGATTAATCCAAGAGTGGAGATCCCTATTTACCCTTCTGACCATAATTTCCATTCTCACCAGAACCCAACCCTAAGTACTAAATGCTAATTATATTTTATCATTCCCTTCTTTGTAATCGTGGGTGTCCAAGCCAGCTCGCATGCATCTCTACTATTCCCCTGAGGAGTGAGGAGATCAAAGTGGTGACCAATAGGGAGAAGCCCCAAGGAGTAGCCTTTATTTGCAAGTTGAGCCACCCTCAAGGTTTCTTACTTTCTTATCATTCCCTTTGCTTATATCCCAGCATTTTGAGAGTACTCTCTTTCATGCTTTTCAAGCATTCAGAATATTAGATTAAAGAGAAGTTTATGGTGAATTCCCAAGCCACTTTTATATTTGATGGTACTATATGCGGGTAGTTTGGTTCTTCAAGTTTGAAACATATCCAAAAAAGAAAATGTTGCAATCACTAGGCGATTGAGTATATGAATACAACAAGATAAAAATAACTCTTTACTTACACCAAGGCATTCTAGGAGTTGATAGTACGCCCTTCCTTGAAGTGGATTGTGACCTTTTCGTGGTTCAGAGAAGTATCTGGTCCTACAAGAACCTCAAAAATTGAGAAAAAGAAACAAGTGTGTGTGTTTAACGCAGAGAGAGAGAGATAGATAGAGAGAGAGAGAGAGAGAGTGACCATTCAGTATAGCCAGGATCCACAGTGAAACCATATATGTCAACAATATCACACATAGAAAGTGCCAGCTCAATTGATTTCATCCCAGTTCCTTTGGCACCTCTGCGCAATACAATACCCTGGAAGAGATAGACTGGATTTGGAATCGTCTGAAAAATAGATGAAAGAATCTGTTACGCTTGTCATTAAGAGAAGAGACCCCAAACTAATAATAATATCATCCCCAACAAAAAGCATTTTCTAATTGAACTTCCTCTAGTGCACACCTATGTTTGGTGGCTCACTGCCAAGTGCTAACAGTTTCATAAGGTCAATCAGTGTCTTTCACCATACCAATATGTTAGCTAGATATTGAGTAGTCGACTACAAAACTTGGTAACTTAACTTCCATGCCAGTTCTTGATATGACTTGAGAAAATAGAAAAAAGGCTTTAACATTTTAATCATATAGAAACAGACTAGATGCTTGATCCTTTATCTAATACTGAATAGAGGCTTTAATATTTTGCAGAAATATTATATGTCATTTTACAACAGGAATTGTGAAAATATAAGTCCAGACAGCTTTGCTGTTTCTACCTTTAGTTGCACAAACATAAAACACCGAGTTTGTATCAAATGCTCAAAATATACATCTTTCAACCCCCAAGGCAGGGAGGCGCATAGTGGTAAATGACCTGGTGCCTGACATTTGGCGTTCAGGAGACTCAGGTCCAATTCCGTGAAGGGTGTTGTTCCCCTTGCCTTGGGACACACCTGTCTTCCACAAGGAACAAAGTTCTTGCGGTTTATGTGGTGTGTATGTGGCCCAGGGAAGGAGGAGGTTGTTTTATATGAACCCCATGGACTGAGGACACCGAGGTGTCGATACTACAGTTACAAGAAAAACAAACTATGCGACTTCCATCCAGCATGCAGAAATACTACCTTCTAATCTTCTATACATGACAATGTTTGCCTTTTTCTAGACTCGTAGTCTTGATGATACCTAATCACAGAACACCACCCCAAGTGTACTGTATTTCAGGTTCTGCTGCTTTATGTATTTGTCAATTGTAACCCTTTCACCAACAAAGTGATCCCCATTGCATATAAGTTGTAACATTGTAACAAAATGAAAAACTAATTCAGCATAACAATTATCTAGTCTAAATGGAACTTCTGATAATGTTGTGCGCAACAGTAAGGAGTCAAATAAAACTGCTCAAATAAGAAACAGATATAGGAAGAGTGTGCTTCATGCTCCAAAATAAAATTAACTGGATATAAACATGCGAGACACGGGAGATAATTTTTGGGACAAAAAGATCTTAGTGCAGGGTTTACCAACATCACGGGATAGAAAGACCCCTTCTCTCTCTTTTGAGGTTTCTGCATTTACAGTGACCTGAACCCAGAATTTCACGAAAATCGTGGCTTTTGCCCAACACGCAAGAAGTGGCACATCTCCTCTCCAAATTTGTCTCTCCAAAAAACATTGATTCTCTCCCTTTCATGGTTTTAAAATCATTTGAGGCGAGGCAGTCCAAAACCGCTCATGAGGCGGCGTCTCATGGTCCCTGGATGAGGTTTAACCTAAATTGGTGAGGCGGTGCCTTGAGGCGTGAAACGTTTCTGAGGCGCACACCTCTCCAAACACCAATTTTTTTCTTCTCCATTTCCTACTTTTTCCTCTCTCAAGAAGATATTCATCTCAAAGGCCAATCCAAAAAGTAAGTTCTTTTTCGTTTATGTCCATATTTTTAGTTTATGTATAATGTATTATATTATATTATATATATTTCAGTCAAGTATATATGTTCTATATCATGTATAATGTATTTTCTATATGTATAATGTGTTATGTATATTTTTTTGTATATTTTCTGTTTTCTGTTTTCTATATTATTTTCAGTTTTCTGTATTATTTTTCTGTTTTCTGTGGATTTGGAAGATGAAAGTGATAGTGATTATGGATACGGTTGTGGAGCTATACAACTTGATCATTCTACGGGGAACTATAAGTTGTAGATTGATATGTTTTTAGACATATAACTAGTATTTTATGAATCTATGACGTTTAAAGTTTGGTAGGGAATTATGTTTTACTTACTATTAATATTTATGAATCTTATTTGTTTTACGCCTCGAGGCTTGCGCCTCAGGGCGTGGAAGGAAAACGCCTCGAGTCCCGATTCCGGTTTTTAAAACCTTGCTCCTTACTAGGATTATGTAAACATCGGCATTCCATTTTGAATGACCTCACATCATCAGTAACCTCCATGAGTTGTCTATATAAATGTCTCTTCACAATATCAAGTATCATATGAACTTTATGCAAATAATGCATGACTTCTTTGTGATTCCAGACTCAGCAATCTAACCACTTATGATTCAAACTTGTCATAATCAGAACCTACTAATTTGTAACCTGTATCCCCAAGACCGTTCCGTTCTTAATGGTTCATATTCATGCTATTTAATGAAACTGGCGCACTTCCTCACTAACATCAATTCATAACGCTACAACCACCGGATAGCTTCTTTGGACAGTCCCTTCATGCCAATGATCTCAGCTAATTCCAAAGCTAGAATGTTGTCTCATTATGAATAGAAGACCTGACCGAAGCTTCTGATCCAAGTTAATACTTATATTTCCCTTTCTAATCAGTTGGTTCTGAAGCAAAAGGGGATACCATATTGGAAACAGCAGCAAATTTTGTATTTATTTTTACTACAACCTATGGAAACAGAGAGAGTCTTTCCTTTCTGTTTGTTCCAAAAATAGATTGGCAAGTCCCCCTTTGGGACTATAACTTGCCACCCCAATTAACCTTGAATTAGACCAAGATAGCACATCTAATAACAAGTCATATCAAGAATCTAGTTGGGGAACAACAAGATATCTACGTAAAAATCACCTAATTTCACAAGCTTAAATCCCTGTGCCCTAAACCCATGCAAATATGCTAGTATAATAGTACCCCTAACATTAAGTAGCGAACAACAAAACAAACAGAATCAATATACAAAACCTTATAAGAAACTCAATCAACTAGTTCTAACCGAAAACAAATACAATAAAATAAAAAACCAAGGCAAAGAGACAGTACATCGAGTTCGAGCAAAATCCATTCTTTGGTGTTTGTAGCTGTGGACCAGTGATTTCGAAGATCAATGTCAAGAACATGTGAAGCCTTCTGCGACGGTGACTCTCTCGAAATCCCCTTTACTTTGTAAGTTAGGGGTTTCACCCGTGGCTCTAATTCCATTTCATTCATCTCCAAATCAATGCTCTCTGAGAATCTCCCTTCTCGCTCTACAATCCACTGGGGTTTTTGAGGTTTGCCGGAGGGAGGAAAGAAAGAAAGGTTTACTGTGGTTTGTTCGTCGTCAAACTACCGCTTCTTTATGATGTTCCGATGACTTCATTACAAAAAGAGTATTCAATCTTTCCTCCAAAGTTTGTTAAATTTCTTTTTCCTTTTAAAGTAAAATACCATTATATCTCCCAATTAAAAACCAAATTAATTTACTTGTATCAGATAAATATGACAAAGACTAAGAATCTTATTCGGTAAGAACGAAGGCAAGAATCAAGAATTTTACCCAGTAAGTGAGGATGACGACTCTTACCATGGTTAGCGCTTACCGAAAATAAATTGTTGCATACAATGCGTTTTAGTGAATAAAATCTTACCCGATAAGTAAGCGATAGTGTTGAATTTTACCGATAAGTACTTACCGGGTAAGTGTTGAGGTAAACGGCCCCTAAACCATAATATATCTTACTATAAAGCTGGTAATTGATAAGTTAACTGATGAATAAAATATATTTGATAAAAATAACTATACATTTGAAATAATAAAAATGACATCTAAAAAAAGGGAAAAGTCCAAAAAACCCAATGGACTTTACTGTTTGGAACGATTAAGTTCTTGGACAATTTTTTGGAACAAATAAATCATTGGACATTCTAAACCTTGTTAAGCAAGTCATTAGACTTTACAAAACATGTTAAATAAGTCCAAATTGTAACCTGTAACCCGAATAGAAGGTAACTTAGATTAAAAAAAACTAAAAAAATCCTAAAAGACTACTCATCTCCCTCTCGTCCACCGCTCCCTCCCCTCCCGTCTCCTTCTCCCTCTCGTACCAGCCGTCTCCCTCGCCCAATCGCCGCCACACCACCTCCGCTCGTCGCCGCCGTACCAGTTCGTCGCTGCCGTACCAGTTCGTCGCCGCCCCTGTCGCTCACTAATCAGGTTTGCTCCAAATTTTCTTTTTTATCCGTCTCCCTAGCTGAATTGATGAAGGGAGACTGTCCAAATATGTCGATCTCAGACCTAAGTCCCTCAAATTGCATAGGTTACCAAGGTTTTCAGGCAAGATTGGTTTATATACGCCCTCTAGGTCTAGCACCCGTAATAGTCTGATACCATCATTGATGATATTTCCCAAAAAAAACTTCCAATTCTCTTTGCCTGCCTATAATCTGTTTTCTGATGGTTAAATGACATGTAAGACCGCAAGTGAAAGGGATTAAATGGAGAACTCTTAAGTTGTTTTTTTGGACATTTCAATTCCAAACTGGTTTCTTGTTTCACTTTTTGGACTTTCATACTCAACCATCCTATGGACATTTAAAGAACCTACTTCTTCATACCTAATCAAATCACGATATGTGTAAAAAAGATTGGTTTCTTGGGCTTTAGGCAACAAATAATCATGTAGAACTCCAAGGACATGACATCTTCTTGGACTATTGTCGGACCTCAACTTTGATATTTGAATCATGTTTCTGCTAACNTTTTCTGTTTTCTGTTTTCTATATTATTTTCAGTTTTCTGTATTATTTTTCTGTTTTCTGTGGATTTGGAAGATGAAAGTGATAGTGATTATGGATACGGTTGTGGAGCTATACAACTTGATCATTCTACGGGGAACTATAAGTTGTAGATTGATATGTTTTTAGACATATAACTAGTATTTTATGAATCTATGACGTTTAAAGTTTGGTATGGAATTATGTTTTGCTTACTATTAATATTTATGAATCTTATTTGCTTTACGCCTCGAGGCTTGCGCCTCAGGGCGTGGAAGGAAAACGCCTCGAGTCCCGATTCCGCTTTTTAAAACCTCTTTTACAAATTTTGTCCCACCTTTTGATATTAAGGTATCGTAGAATATTCCTCCACCTTGGAGAGTCTTCGTGGATCTTGGTTACTAGATTACTTTCAGGAATTTGTCTAGATCACTGTCCCAACACTTTTAATTCAAGGCAGATATAGCGTACGACATACAAGGCATGCCTTTAAAGTGGCTAACTAGCTTTTTTTATGTTTCTCGCAACTATATGTGAACAATAATTTAGAAATAGGACTAGAAAGATGATTTCTATCCTCTGCAATCTTCCCAAAAGTCTGCACTTACATAATGGGCTCAACTAATATATAGCTAACACCAGCTTCACTGTAAAACTGCAATCAACATAGGCACAAAAGTACTAGGAGCAGAGAAGATGGCCAACATTTTAATACATATGCTCGATATTACAACATTGTATCTGCATACGGCTACTTACATCGATCATCTTGTTGAAGTCTCTGTGAGTCACACTTTTGATAACAAGCACCTCATCATCTGCAGGAGAAAAGACAGAAAACACCAAACGCTGAGACATGTAAATAGCTTCTAATACGAAGAAATGTCTGTAAACTTCCATTTGTTCACCTAAGGTCTCATGAGGAGCTGCGGTTTATGAGAAAAAGGAAAAACAAGGGACGCAACTTTCTACTAGTAGAGGAACAGAAAGGAATGCAAGTATGTAACATAACATAACAATGTTGTTAAATGTAATAAAACATTACATCAAACTAGGTACCTAAAAAGCATGTTTGAATAATGTATTGGCAACCAGCCAACACAACACTAGCTGGATCTAACTTGAGTCATTAAGCACTCCACTTAAGTCGCAAGAAAAATGAGAAACTGCATATATCCAGAACTCACTCTAAAACACAAATAACGAGTGCATCATTAAAATAGGTTCTCTTGCAAAAGATATTCACCTGATCCATTGAGGATGGTAACCATGTTACGAGCAGTTCCCCTAACTCCTAGTCGAAAGTCCCTCTTTAAACCAACGTGTTTTGCATATTTCTGCAAGAATGGATAACAGAGGAGTAATTTGGACCATATAAGAACTTTTTGAAAACATTTGCTAAATATCCTAGTTATGGCTACAAGCCACCTTTGTGGTGACTAATTTACCTCGTTGACCGGTGCCTCATTGTCTCTTATGACTGCATCATGACTATCAATTTCTTTACCAAATTCAGTCTTTAGCAGATCTCCTGAGTTTCCAACAACCGCACATTTCTGAAACTGGCGAGGGTGAAATGGTGGTTTGGCTGGCAAAATCGGATTAAGGTGCTCCTCACAAAGTGTCCGATTGTTGCAATTCTTTGCACCTCTATGATAATGGAAGAAATCAGCAAGGAAATAATTAATCTAATTCATTAGGTATGAACCACTCAACCAAGTAAATGATGTAAAAATAACAGTGATGCATTGAATCCACAGAGATCTTTTATTTGTTTATTAGAAGCATACAATTGTGCTATCCTTTTGGCTGCATAGTCCATCCAGCCATCAGGCCGTGCATCCAAATACTCTCTTGTCAAAACTGTCGTCATGTTACGGTACTGCATTCCAGCCAAAGAAAAAGGATTAGAGTATGCATTGGAAGAAGAACACAGGAATAAATAAAGAAATTACTTAACCTGTTCCCACAGGAGAACTGCCTCACAAACATCATATGTATACTCTAGTGGCTCGTAAGTCTTGAACTGTGGGTTCAACTGCAAGTAAATACCAAATTTGGTGGTCAATGTATGAATGCATGATATATATATATATATATAGAGAGAGAGAGAGAGAGAAGAGAAGTACCCAGGTGCTATTAGTCCCTTCAGGAAACTTAAGAACCAATTTGCAGTGGTCAATGATATGTGCAGCAAGTCCAAATCCTCTGTTTGCCTACACAAGACGGCACTAAGAATTAGTGTCGTTATACTTCAACAAATGAACAATGGTGAACCAATGCCACAAGATAAGGAAGAGTAGCAATATGCAGAACACAATCACAAGGTAAGCATTCAGAAATTGTGTACTGAGTTGCTTGAGTGCATCAAGTAACAAATAAAACGATACTAACAACCTCAAAAGTTAAAGCTACGTTAAGAGCAAGTATGTAGTAAGCCAAAAGTTCCCTATGTTCAAATTAACTCAAGAATGGTCTACATGCTGAACTTAACGAAAATAGCTTGCAGTGATCTGGGTAATTTGGATATAGCAATACCATCGTTTCCAAACTAGCAAACATCTCACTAGAGGTCGAAATTAGGAAACCACTAACCAAGTGAATGCAACATAACTACCAACTATGTTAATTTGCATATCTTCGTGTGTTGTTTGTGGAGAGAAGATGAAAGGGAACGCTAACCACGCATTGCTGGACATCGGACTGAAAATCAGATAAGATCTGGACGTCTTCTGTGTTGAGATATTTGGTCTGACTACCTGCCAGCAAAAGGTTAAAACGAATTAAAATTGCAATCATTGGAATCAAGGTCCGAGAAAACGTTTAACGAAAGAAAGTAAACAACCAGTGAAGAAAAACGATTGAATGGCGAAAACAAGGACTGAAAAAATGGTTGCAGCGCATATGAGATGAACAAATGCAGGTCTTCTTGATGAGGGTTTCAGAGGTCTCGTCATGGCGGTGAGTGCCCTAGCTCCGGCGATCTGGGGATCTTGGTGGTGATGGAGTGTAGTAGTACAAGTTGAGTAACTGAGTAAGATGAATGAAGTTGCATCAGATTCGTGATTCCCACGTACTTCTTTGGTCGCCTATCCACTGTGGATCGGATCCCAGTGCAGAAACTATTTGATTATTGAATGCAATCGATTAATGTTCTTCTCTAGATTCACACCAAGACAGAATCCACTCAATATTTGGATCAAGAATTCAGAAACCCTTAACGAAGGAAGTTGGGTGCAGGAAATATCACAGAATCTGTCACTCCACCTCCAGCAGCAGCCAGATTTTGTTAAGCAAACTTTAATTTTACAATTTGTATTTAATTGCATAAAATAGGACATATTTTCATTTTGAAGAATTTAGTGAATTACATTTTTGGTCCCTGGAATTTGTTATTTTTGATGAAATGTGTCCCTTGGTTTCATTAATTGCGGATTACTTCCTCATGTTTGTAAAAAAATTCTGGTTTTCGTCCCTCATCTTATGTTTTTGTGTTGACTGTAGTTAAATGATTTTTAGTCATTTTCCTTTCTTTCTCTTTTAAAAATACATTATATTATAAGTATATATATTAAATCAACCCCTGTAAAACGTGTTCAAACAATTTATAGTCACAACGGTCCACTATCTAGAAATTGAAAATGATTCAAACTTTTAACACATATGATATTAAAAATGAGTTGTGACGGTGGTTTTAAGATTCTTTGGGACTTTTTTAACCGTAGCTGTACGGGACAGTTTGTACGCATCTCACTAATCCCAGGGATCCTGGAGAACAACCAGGAAAATTTCCAGTGGCCTTGCAGGACGGTTACCTCTAAGGAGAATTCCCAAGTGCTCAAGCCTTATTGTGGTGGTTTCAGGAGATGAGAGGGGGAGAAGGCAAACGTGTTGAAGGGGAATGAAAGGATTTTTATGGAGCTTCATTAGAGAAAGGGAAGGGTGTTTGAACGAGAAAGATGGATGTCGGTTAGGGGGAGAACAAGGTTAGATATGGGGTTGTTCGTTTTTCACATTGCTTGATAAAACTAATTTTCAGTTTTTTTAAATACCAAAGTAGTTATATGTTGATGAACATATGATGAAATGCAATAAGCAAAACGTTGTTTTTTTTTTTTTAACGATATATGTAAGATAATTTAACTATTCTTAATTTTGAAAGTAGCATTAGGGGTGCACAAAAAACTGCCAATCCGCAAAACCCGCCCAACTCAACCCGCTAACAACCCAATTAAACCCAACCCGCCTAACCATCAAACCACCCACCCGCCTAACCGCTAACCCGCCAATTAGGAGGGTTGAAATTAGGCCCAACCCGTCCAACCCGTCAAACCGCCGCTAATATATAATTTTTATAAAAGTTTATTTCTATATATATATATATATATATATGTGTGTGTGTGTGTGTGTTTATTATGTATATATATATATATATATATATATTAATAATATACTAGAAGCGTACTCCCGCAATGCAGCGAGATACATCGTGATTTTAATATTTTATTTTATTCTTTATCTTAGTCGATATTATAATATGGCTTTATATGATTTTGAGAAATCGATGATGTTTTTATTTTTGAATAAAAT